GTATGTGCTTAAGAGCTCACTCCCCCACCCCCACCCCGCCTCCACGTAACTTATTCACATTTGAATCATTCAAGTATACTTTTAGGTGTAACATACATCTGTAATTTTAAGATCATAGGATTTAGACACAGAAGCATCACAAACTGGGAGCTAGAAGGACCCACAGGGAAGGACCATAAAGTTTGATCTGGAAGGGATATATGGTTCACTTATGTTAAAACTCCTGATGTGTACCTAAATGGGAAAAGATTCTAGACTTAGAATTGGTGAAAATAATATAATCTCATTTGATCCTCACTACAACCCTGTGTGGTAGATGCTATTATTATCCCGATTTTACAGATGAAGAAACTGAGGCCTAAGGAAGTTAAATAATCAAATGAGATAATATTTGTAAAAGCGCTTAGCACAGTGCCAGGCATATAGTAGGTGCTATGCTTATTCTCTTCATCACTCTCACTTATCCAAGATAGTACAGGTAGTAACTTGTAGAGTCAGAACTTGAACCTATATCCTGACTCCAAATCAATTCATTTTTCCCTAACATTATATGACTTCTCCATATGTATATGTAGTCTGTATCATACAGACTTTATCATATATGTAGATACACACACACAGAGGAACATTTAATATTGGACTCTAGTTCAAGCTCTGCCACCTCTTCACTGTGTGACCTTAGGAAAAATCATATAAAATTCTTTGGGTCTCAGTTTTCTTATCAGTAAAATCTGGGGATTGGAATAAAAGATCACAAAGTGTGTTTCTTCTCCATTTTTCAGGTCTTTTCTTTTTTTTTTTAAATTTTTTGCTAGGCAGTGGGGTTAAGTGACTTGCCCAGGGTCACACTGCTAGTAAGTGTCAAGTGTTTGGTCTGAGGTCACATTTGAACTCAGGTCCTCCTGACTTCAGGGCCGGTGCTCTATTCAATGTGCAACCTAGCTGCCCCCTTTTTCTCCATTCTTTAGAGGCAGCTAGGTGACGCAGTGCACAGTGTGCTGGACTTGGAGTCAAGAATACCTGAGTTCCAATACTACCTCAGTCACTTACCTCTCAACCTCAGTTTCCTCATCTGTAAAATGGGGATAATAATAGCATCTACTACCGAGAGTTGTAGTGCAGATCAAATAAGATAATATGTAAACCTAAAACCACTATATTATTCCCACCAATTCTAAGTCTAGAATCTCTCCCCACTTAGATAAAGCTCCAAGGGTTTTAATATATGTGAATCATACATAACAAAAGAGAAAAAGTGGTAGTTTTGTCATATAACATTAATTTTAGCCAAAAAGTTTAATCTTCGGATAAGATTTTTACAAATTCACCTTACTTTTTGCTTCATAAAGAAAATAAATATTTTATTTCTAACACTATTGATGTGTGTAATGGCAAAATAAGTTTTGCATTTATTGTTAGCTATTTTCCACTTTCAAAGATCATACATTAAATCTCTTCTTTAGTCTCAAATGCATTCAGTTAGAGAGGGGCAAGGAAGCAATTATTTAGGTAACACCAGACATTACTGTGGCACTTGATTTGCACCCACATAGCCAGCAATGCTGGCCTCCTTGCAGTCAGTTCCTCACACATGACTCTCCACCTCTTGATTCCACGAATTTTTCACTGGCTGCCCCCCATGCCCAGAATGTTCTGCCTTCTCACCTTCTGACCACTGTCTTCCCTGACTTCCTTCAAGTCTCAGCTCAAATCCCAGCTTTTTCAAGAGGCTTTTCCCAGGCTTTTTCCAATACTAGTGTTTTCCCTTGGAGATTAACTCCACTTTGCCCTTGTTCTTAAACAGTTTTTGCAGGCTGTCTCCCTTATTAGAATTTGAGTTCCTTGAGGGCAAAGACTATTTTTTGCCTTTCTTTGTATTACCAAGACTTAGCAGGATGCCCAACATAAAGAATATACTTAAATGCTTGTTGTCTTGCCTAGACTTGACCTAAGGCAGGGACTTACATATTAAAATTCAGCAATTAAGGTTCTACCTATTGGTCTACATCCTGGTTGTCTTCATTCATGCTAGGTGTAACACCAAACATTCATATATTCAACACCAAATATCAAGTCTTCCCTGGTCCATGGTGTGGGAGGGAGAGAGGGTAGGGTCTCTGTGTGTGTGGGGGGGGTGTATATGCATGACTTCATTTTAATCAGATAGGCTTAGGTTTTGCCTGTCTGCCTTCATACATAAAAGGCTTGATCTTGAACATTTGAGTTTCGCTTACAAATTCCATGTCACACTTAACACTTCCCCAATGTAAATGCTTATTAAAGTAACAGCTAAAAATAAACCAGAATGTTTCATACATGTGAAGTCAGCACTCTAGTTTCTTTTCAGCTATCATTGCTACCTTATAGAGCAGCTACCACACCCAATACCAGCAAAACATACCTATGGAAACATCCATTTGCCCTTGAACTCAGTAGGCACTTTTATCAACCTGTTTGAGTTTATGCTCCTTTACAGAGTGTACTGATCTCATTTCTAACCAACTACAATAAAAAAAAAGTTGCTAACTGTGTAGTCGCCTTTACAAAACATATTTACTTTTAACTGCTATAAAATGATGACTATCTAGGGTCACAGTACTTCCTTCACCCACTGAAACTCATGAGTAATTTTTAAATGTTTTCCTATACACAGCAGATGAGAAAAAAAGGAACAAGAAGCCACTTGTGCTTCAGATGAAAAAAAAAAAGCCTCCTGTTAAGTAACTATGAGAAATAACCCAGTTGTTCAAATATTAATTCCATCATGGTTCTGAATATCTGGGGAAGGCTGGGGTAACTTCTGCCTCTCAGCTAACATCCAATTCCTATACAAGAAACCATTATCTCTTCCACAAAAATAAAATCTACAGATGTCCTGCCAATTTCAGTTTGCAGGGCTCAAGACACCTCTTTAATCTACAGGAATGGGAAATCTGATTAGTCTCTGATTCCACACTTACACTGCTAGTGAATCTGACTTTCAAGTATCTAAAAAGTTAAGGGAATTGTCTTAATTTTCATTCAATGTCACGTCAGTTCGAATCATCTCTAGTTCCGCACAAAAGTGCTAAAGCATTTTAAACTAATCATTTAAAGTAAAAGCCGGACAGCCAGAGGAAGGGAATCAAACGTCTAAAAACGAATAGAAAAATGTGCCCAGAAACGAAAATGGAGCTTCACGCTCGCCTCCAGCAGCGCTCCGGTCTGGACCGTCATGGTGTTAGAGGTGAGGGCTACGGTGGAGTCACAGAGAAGCAGAACAAGGCTCATTCGGACTTGGTTTCTCTGTTGGTGGTGGTTTTGTCTGTTCTTCTCTTCTTGGGGGTGGGGGTGGAGGAGGAGGAGGAAGAGGTAACCAGCTCAGCCCAGCTCCGTCTCAGTGCCCCTGTTGCTATGTCTCCTTGCAGCTCAGGATGTGCAAGCAGCCAGGGACGGGTTGCTACTGCAGCAGGAACTAGGGCTAGAGGCTAGGCTTTCTGGGAAGTGACCTCTCCCAACTAACTCATAAAAAGGGGGGAGGGGGTGGAGAGGGCAGAACGAATAGTGAAACGGAGAGGAGCGGAGGTGGGAATGTGGGAGCAGCCGAGCCCCGCCGCGCACCGCTGGACCTGGATGCCTGGCCCGCCTCGCCTCGCCTCCCCGCTGCCTCCATCCACTCACCAGCTTTATAGCGGGTCTTCTCCTTTGTCTGATCGCCTCCTTTCTTCCCTTTCTCTCCCGGTTAGCGGCTGCTTCTCCTCTGCTGTTTCTCCGGTGCTCTCAGCACTGCCCCCTCGTTCCGAAGTCCCCCACCCCCTTCCTAGTCTCCTCCCTTCCGCAGTCCCCTCCCTAGGGCTCGGAGAGAGAATGGTGATAACAGACGATCTCTCTCCCCCAGAAGGAGGAACCCGGAATAATGCTAATGCGGCCGCTGCGCCGCACCCCCTCCCCTTCCCTGCACACCCACACACACGCACACAACACACACACTGGACCCCCACCCCGCCAGTCGCCTCTCCCGCCCTCCCCCTCGCCCCACTCCGGCGCTCCGGGTTCCCCGGGCGGGCGCAGCTGCCGGGTTCTCAGCCTCCTGCAGGGCGTGCACCGCGGGCTGCCATTCACCTCTCTCTCTTCTCCTCACTCCCACCCCCTTCTACCTTCCTGCAATGAGGAGGGTTCACTAAAATGCTGAAAGTGAGCGAAGATCGCAGATGGGAAAAGGGAAATTAGTAAAAGGGGGAGGGGAAAGGGACTTGAACGAGGCAAGTTGGAAAGGAGGTGAAGATGGCGACTCTGAGGCTGTGCCGTTCGGGCTCAAGGGGAAGTAACGAAGAGCCCCCGACTCTGCTCGTGGCTGAGGCTGCCGGGGCTGCCCCCTCTCCGCTCCGCGCCTGGCCCCTCGGGTCACTGACCAGGTGGGATACTTGGGAGGGGCAGAGGCCAGAAAGGCCGCCCTGAATCCTGCTAGCTTTGTCCGCTGCCTCCTCGGCCATGCCCACGGCTCGGCGGCTGCCCTCCGCTTCTGCTTTTGCCGCACTTTCAAACAGCCGCCACGCTCCTGACCACTCCTGGGAGAGGAACCTGAAAAGGCCGGCCGGGCCCTAGGGCACCCTCTGGCGCCCAGTCTGAGAGCGAGAAGTCGGGCTGCAGCGGGGAGGGGAAGGATTGGGGAGGATTTCCTCAACTCAGCAACTCCGAGCGAGGCAGACTTCAGACCCGGGGCCTGCAGTGCAACCTGGCCACCTCCCTTTCTGAATGTTACATATTAAGGTTTCCTTTAAACTGGATCTAATTAAAGGAATCAGACTGCCAGTTTTGCACATATAGCCCAGGGCAGTCGTGCCTGGGTCCACTTAATTCAAATCTAGTGCTTTTTTTATTATACGTGTTACTTCGTTCAGCCCTCTCATTTCATAGATCAGCCATTTAACAAGCATTTAGTGTGCTCTGTGCAAGTTGAAAGGAATGAAATGAAATCATTTTTGCCCCCCCCCCAAGAAGTTTGCATTCAGTGAAGGACTAGGATACTTGTGGTCAAGTCAATGAGCTTCTATTAAGCACCAGGAAGTGGGCTAAATGCAGGAGATAACAAATGCAAAAGCAGTCTCTGCCCTCAAGGTGCTCACAATCCCATGGAGACAATTTGCAAACAATGCACAAACAGGATAAATTGGAGATTTCAGAGGGAAAGAACTGGAAGGCTTCTTGCAAAAGGGTCTTGAAGGTAGCTAGGGAACCCAGGAGATTGAGGGGAGCAGGAAGAGAATTCCAGGCATGGGGGAAAGCCAGAGAAAATTTGTAGCGTTGAGAGATGGAGTGTCTTGAAGGAGAAATAGCAAGGAGTCCAATGCCATTGAATTACAGAGTAAGGTGTAAGAAGGCTGGAAAGGTAAGAAAGGGCCAAATTGTGAAGGGATTTAGAAGCCAAAGAAGATTTTACATTTGTTCTGGAGGAAATAGGGAGTCTATAGAATAGGAGGATGACATAGACCTGTATTTATCATTTTGATAAATGAATGGAGGATGGACTTAAGTGAGGAGAGACTGGGGCTAGGGAGACCAACCAGCAATCTTTTTTTTTTTACATTTTATTTTTCCACAATTACATGTTAAAACAATTTTTAAAATATATTCTTTAAAGTTTTGAGTTCCATTATGCCCAAAGGGCTATAAAACTGTGCATATCCTTTGATCCAACAATACCACTTCTAGGTCTGTATCCCAAAAAGATACATATACAAAAACCTTTATAGCAGCTCTTTTAGTGGTAGCAGAGAACTGGAAATTGAGGGTTTGCCCATCAGTTGGGGAATGGCTCAGCAAGTTGTGATATATGAATGTAATGGAATACTTTTGTTTTATAAGACAGGATGAGCAGGGAGATTTCAGAGAAACCTGGAAAGACTTACATGAACTGATGCTGGGTAAAGTGGGCAGAACCAGGAGACCATCGTACACAATAACAGCAACATTGTTTGATAGTCAACTATTCTTCTCAAAAATATAATGATCTAAGACAATTCCAAAAGACTCATGATGGAAAATGCTATCCACATCCAGAGAAAGAACTATGGAATCAAAATGCAGATTGAAGCATACTATTCTCACTTTTTTTTTTCTTTTTGTTTTTTCTTTCTCATAATTTTGCCCTTCTATTCTGATTCTTCTTTCACAACATAACTAAGGTGGAAATATGTTTAACATGATTGTACATGTATGACATATTTCAGATTGCTGTCTTGGGGAATGGGGAATGGGGAAAGAGAAAAACGTGGAGCTCAAAATCCTGAATGCTGAAAACTATTAACGGGGTACAGGCCCAACCAAGCCGAGACATTTGCCCCTCACTCCAAAAAGAATTTGGGTCCCATTTATCAAAGGACTCTCCTTGAATTCTCCCACTTGAACAAAGGAAGTCTAGTTCCCCTGAGGCTATAATCCTATCAACTGGCCTTTCATTATCACCTATGCTCAATTACCCAATTCTGTTACCTTTAATCTAGCCTAGCCCTCCATAGTCTTACCTCCCTATGGCCCCAGGCCACTTCCCACCCTTAATCCTATCTAGGGTCCATTCTCCCTTGGCCACATGGTCCAGGTCCCTGGCTTTCTGTTCACCCCAGCCTACTGGCCACTTCCATCAAGATCCTCCCTAGATCTCTGCCACAGTCTTTCTGTGTATAAGGTCCATCTTGTCTCCATTAAGGTGCTCAGATTTTTTAGAAGTTTAGCCAAGGGCTCAGATTTTTATAATCTAGCCAATAGCTCACAAATGTTAAGATTCCTTAAGAGTCTAGCCAATATGGCTGATCTTTAATAAACCTTATCTTTGGCTGAAAGAAGGCATGGGTCGATTTCATTTGGGCAGGATCTGTGTGTTGTGATTTTGGGGTCCCAGCTTCCCTTAGTCTCTAGACATGAACACTATCTTTACATATAATTTAAAAAATAAAGAACTATTAACTGCAAAAAAAAGTTTTGAGTTCCAAATTCTATCCCTCCATCCCACCCCCCTTACTCCTCCCTTACATGGTAAGTAATCAGATATAGGTTATACATGTGCAATCGTAAAATATTTCCATATTAGTCATTTTGTACAAGACTCGAATAAGAGAAAAAGAATGAAAGAAAATGAAAAATAGCATGCTTTCAGTCAAACAATATCAGTTCTTTCTCTGGAGGCGATAGTATACCTCATCATTAGTCCTTTGGGATTGTCTTGGATGATTGTATTGCTGAGAATAGCTAAGATGTTCACAATTCTTCATCATACAATATTACTGTTACTGTGTGTAATGTTCTGCTTCTGTTCACTTAACTCTGCATCAGTTCATGTAAGTATTTTCAGCTTTTTTTGAAATCATCCTGCTTATCATTTCTTATAGTATAATAACATTCATTTCTTATAGTATAATAACCTTCCATCACAATCATTTACCATAACTAGTTCAGCCATTCCTCAATTGATGGACATCCCCTTAATTTCCAAGTCTCAGCCACCACAAAAAGAGTTACTATAAATGTTTTCGTACAAATAGGTCCTCTCCCTCTCCTTTTTTTT